TTTAGACTTCACCATCTAACCATTAGACTTCATTCCTCTCCCAGGCCTGGGGATAGAACCCAGGAGTCCTGGCTCCCAGCCCCCCTGCTTTAACAATTAGACACCACTCGCCTCCCAGAGTGGGGACAGAACCCAGGAGTTCTGACTTCCATTCCCTGTTCTATTAGACCAGACTCATTTCCCGGACAGCTGTCATGCTACCCCATGCTTCAGGAGAAGCGCGGGGAGGTGAGGTTAGTAAAATGACCATGAAGAAGCTGTACAGATTTCAACAGCTTTACCTGTTCCAGTGGAAAACCGAGAATCCCCTCGTACATTCCGTCAGGAAGCCCTGACTGCCCGTTTCTCACCAGGCCAGCTCTGGTTACATGCTCAGCTCCTACTGGAAGGGGACAGTCTTGAATGAAAAGCAAACAACCGTAATTGCTTACAACTGAGCCTTGACTAAGTTTGGGGCAGACACTGCATCTGGCAAAGGAGAGCCTCTTCCCCACACGAACAGCCCCTTCACCTGAAATTCGCCTCTACTCTTCTCTGCAAGATTGCACTGCACCTCCTTACCCCCTTGCAACTCCAGCCAGCAAAGCCGAAGGCTGGATAATTATCCGGAGAGCGGTGTTTTTAACCACCCAGCAAACACTGACAAAAGAGCGTTTTGCTCAAAAGCGTCCCACTGAAGTCACTGCCTTAGAGCAGACAGATGGACACAGTTAATCTTTGAGGCAGTGCAGTCCATTGGTGGCGACGCTGGACCAGCAGTCAGAGAACCTTGCTCCCGTTCCCAGATCTGCCACTGCCCTGCTGCAACTTCAGCTGAGAAGTTATTTCGCCATTCTGGGCCTCAGCCGCCACTTGCACCCTGGGTCTATCTTGTCTTAGCATCTCCGCTGTTTGAGGCAGGGTCTGTCCAGCAGGATGGAGCTCTGACCTCAACTATAATCAAATCATATTGCCTACAAAAGTGATAGCGTTAAAACATTTCTAGAGTGGGAAATCCAAGCAATTGAGTTCCAGGAAACTAAGATTAAAAGCTCAGTATTAACTTAACCTCCCTCGTATTTTAAGGCCTATGGAAATCTGCTTTTCTATATTTTTCAATGCCAACACAAGCTGGGATTTCTAATACAACCTTATGTACAACGCAGAGCAAGATTGCACCTGCTGCCCAAAGCACAACGGAAGATGGAAACAACAAGGAGAACATCAACTGCCCACTTGCCAATTCTAACTTACCAGCAAGCAAGCAGACAAACCTGTTTTCAAAGCCCCGAATGCTATTCTGAGTTATTTTTAGTATATTGCCTTGTTTATTACCCAGCTTTCCCATATTGACAGCAAACCATACTGCTATCGAGGGATTCTGATGACAAGTAAGAATCCACAAGAGTGAAGAGCAAGTGGTTTTCAGCCCCGTCACTGGCATGCAGAGATAAAAATACAGCCCTACAACTTGCAAAGTTTGGGTGTATTTTTAAGTGTTTATGGTTTCCAAGTGGCAATGAAAAACAGAAGCCAAACACTACTTTTAAAGATTTGCATCTCTACGACGTCCTACATCCTGTCCTGTGGATAAAATGGCAAGGAGCAGATGCTTTCAAAGAAGTCTTAGTGACAAACAGCAAGACATTCTCGGTGTTTTGGAGGCACAAGTTACACAGGGATTCTCCAGGAGGAGACGACACCGTTTTGGGTCTCAGCATTGTCCCGTAAAGCACAAGGGTGAAAGCGCTAAGGACAGGTTCGTAACACACATTCCTAACAGGATATGCCCTTCCCCAGGGCCCCCACACTTTGTACCAACCACTGAGATTTTCAAAGGCGATCAGGGGAGGCAGGTGCCTGGGACTGGGGCAGGAGGGTACCGGTGTCACAGACACTCCAGCCCCGAACCTAGCAGGGCGTGGAGCCGCACAAGAGGAAGGGGCGCCCGGTGGCCTTCGGACAGGAAGGTGCCACCGAGAGCAGCCGGACAGGCAGAAGCTTGCGCTGGAGAAGGGTGACGGCGCAGGGGGTCGGGTGCCCGGAGAACAGAATCACCTTCCAGAGCCCCCTCCCCCAGATCCTCCCCCTGGAGAGAGAAACCCCAAGCCAGGGTCCCTGCTGAACTTTCAAGGGAGACGCCCCCCAGCCCAGGCCCGCCTCCCAGCCGGTCCCCCCCCCCCCTCCAGCCCAGGCCCCCCTCCAGCCCGGGGCCCTGGGGACAGACCCCCCCCTCCAGCCCATCCCCCTGGGGACAGACCCCCCCAGCCCGGGGACAGACCCCCCCCAGCCCGGGCCCCCTGGGGAGACCCCCCCCAGCCCCAGCCGGCCCCCCCCAGCCCGGGCCCCCCTCCCAGCCGGTCCCCCTGGGGACAGAGCCCCCCCCCCAGCCCGGGCCCCCCTCCCAGCCGGTCCCCCTGGGGACAGAGCCCCCCCCAGCCCGAGCCCCCCCCCAGCTCGTCCCCATGGGGACAGACCCCCCCCAGCCCAGCCCAGCCCCCCCAGCTCGTCCCCATGGGGACAGACCCCCAGCCCCCCCAGCCCGTCCCCATGGGGACAGACCCCCCCCAGCCCGGGCCCCCCTGGGGACAGACCCCCCCAGCCCGCGCGCCCCCCCACGCCCCCGGGGAGAGCCCCCCCGCCCGGCCCGGGGGTTCGGGCCGGTTCCATCAGGGAGAAGGGGAACGGGGGGGGGGCTCCCGGCAGGTACCATGGCGGGGGTGGGGGTGAGGACAGGGGCCCGGGCGGTACCATCGTGGGGAGGGGGCGCCAAGGCGGTACCGTGGCGGAGAGCCGGCAGGGGGCTTGGGCAGTACCACGGGGGGGCGGGGGGGGCCAGGGCGGTACCATCGCGGGAGGAGGCCCGGGCGGAACCGTGGCGGGGGAAGGAAGGCGGGGGGCCCGGGCGGTACTATCGCGCGGGTGCGGGCAGGGGGGCCCGGACGGTACCATCGCGGGGGGGGGCAAGCTGGGGGCCCGGGCGGTACCATCGCGGGGGATCGCTCGGGGGGGGGCCGCCTCCCCACCTGTCACGGGCGCCCCGCGCTCCCTCGGCGGCCGCTGCTCATCCCGGTGCCGCCTCCCTCCCCGCGGGGCCCAGCTCCACCGCCGCGTCAGGCCCCGCAGCACCCGCGCTCCCGGAAACCCCGCCCCCCCGGGTTCCAAGACACCGGAAGCGGGGGGCGGGACGGGGCCCGCCCAGGGGCCGCACTGCGCAGAAACGGCGGGACAGGGCGCGCTGCGCATGCGGCCAAGCGGCATCGGCAGGCGGCGCCTGACTGCGCCTGCGCCGGACTGGAGCCCAGTGCGCATGCCCCCCGCCTCTCAGTCTACCACGTCCGCACGCTGGCAGCGCTTTGCAACCGCTGGTGGGCGGGGCGCCCTGAGAGCCCCGCCCCTCTGGCCGCTGCATAGATTTGCATAAATTTCCATAGAGCATAATTGATTTTGGAGACGCAAACAGTGGGGGGTTAGGCTTAGGGTAGAAACAGGAACCCCGGGGTTGGGGGGGGGCCTGATCCCCCCCAGCTGCCAGCAGAACCCTGAGTCCTGGGGGGGGGGCGGGGCAGGGCAGGGCCTGATCCCCCCCCAGCTGCCAGCAGAACCCTGAGTCCTGGGGGGGGGGGGGGCAGGGCAGGGCCTGATCCCCCCCCCAGCTGCCAGCAGAACCCTGAGTCCTGGGGGGGGGGGGGGGCAGGGCAGGGCCTGATCCCCCCCCCCCCAGCTGCCAGCAGAACCCTGAGTCCTGGGGGGGGGGGGGGGGAGGGCAGGGCAGGGCCTGATCCCCCCCCCCAGCTGCCAGCAGAACCCTGAGTCCTGGGGGGGGGGGGGGGCAGGGCAGGGCCTGATCCCCCCCCCCCCAGCTGCCAGCAGAACCGTGAGTCCTGGGGGGGGGGGGCAGGGCCTGATCTCCACACCCCCCCCAGGAGAACCCCAAAGCCTAGCCCCCACCAGGCACTATCCCCACGCCCTCAGACACACATCCGCCCAGCTCAGCCTGGTGCCTGCAGGACTCCTGGGGGTGTGCTAACCTCCCCTGGCTGTGCAGACACCTAGAAAGCGGATTTAGCAGTGAAATCAGCCTAGGGGTCCAGCCTAGGAGCGTTTGCTAGAGTGTATTTGCAACACACATCACAATTCTTGGGTTGCATCCTACACACTTTACAGTGTATATATTCCATACATCCCCTCCTCACCCCCACCCCAGGGCAGGGGGGAACACAGCAGCTGCTTACCAGCGCTGCTACGCTACCCCTTGGCACAGGAAGCAGAGATGGCAGTATCCCCACGGGGGGAAAGAAGGGGGCAGAACTCAGCAGCATCCTCAGTAAAGAGCTTGCTGAGCGAAGGAAGCACAGGGCGGGAAGGATGAAGCAACAGCAGTGAGGGCAGGTGGGTTAGACAGGTCAGACTAGCCGATCAGAAAGCTCCCTTCTGGCCCTGGGATCTGGTGAAGAGCAGGAGCAGGAAGACAAGTGTTAATTAAAACCCTCGGATTTTCTTTTGCCAGGCGACAGAGGAGAGACTAGCAAAACAACAGTGTCTCACAGACGCTGTTGGGCAGCACCGTGGTAGTTTTGCCCCAGGGAACAGAGTCAATGGAAAAACGGGGTACCTGCTACCGCAGATATTCAATACAAGCACAAACTCCCTGCAAAACTGCTAGGGGTAAAACACTTTGAGCACCCTGGGCAGAAGGGGGCGGGTTAGTCTCTAGGAGCCAGAGTCGGACATCTCAAACTGGGACGAGGACTCCGGGTCCTTGCCCCCGGATTTGCCATGACCCTTCCTTGGGCAGGTCACCGCTGCACTCTGACTAGCAGTTTATCTGCAAGAGGGGGATAACGTCCACCATCGTGCAGCCCTTTTCACACGGAGGCTCTGAAGGTGCTCAGTAAGTCGACAGCACTATCCCTATCTGCAAGGCTACCCCAGACCATGACTTCTGCTTTAAAAGCAATCAAAGGGATTTCCGAGCAGCAGAGATCCATTAAAGCCCAAGGAGGGATGAGAGGAGTATGTCTTTTTTTATGCTTTATTGCAACAGCACGTTGAATCCTTGAAGAATCATGGCACGTGCCTTGAGTGCATTACACAAATCTCTACTGCCTCCTGGCCGCTGACTACACAATGTAGCCTGGGTGCAGATTTCATTCTCCTCCTTTAAAAAAGTGTTTTGCCTCCAACAGTGTAAAAACATTCAGAACACTTACCCCTCCTTTCGCAGGCACAACGAAAATGCTCAGTAATGGGTTATGCCATCTTTCCTATTTTGTCTTTGGGGGGGAAAAAAACCAAACTTCCCTTTCTTGGATCCAATAACCCCATCCCCTCCCTTCAGAAACACCCTGCAGCAAAGATTCTCCTCCTCATCTCCATCGCACAGCTGAACACTCCTGTTTTAACCCCGTTATAAAGCCTAAGGAGCCTGCAAAGTGGGCGTTTCACAAGAAAAGTTAGCACTTCAGAACAAACAGGAAGACCAATACAGGCAACCACTGAAAACCAGATTATAAAATAGAAAAGCTAAAGGGATGCAGTAAACCCACAGCAAAAAAGGCGACAGGATCTCCTTCAGGAGGAGGCCTATATCCAGAGACATTAAACCGCCTGTTTGGCTTAATAAAGAACAGTAGATAAAAGACGGAGGAATCGTTGTTTGGATTAACAGTCAGTCCTTCAGTCCAGCGCCTCAGCTGCAGTACCAACAGAGAGAGACCTGACACCGCACGACGACATGGCAGGCTAACACAGCATTGGTGTTAGGGCACAGGTGGTCTACAGTGACAACCACACTTAATCAGTTGGTAAGGAAGCCAACGGCAGCCACTCATCTTTGCTCCGGTGCCATGTCCCACAGATGCTCCCAGCATATCCGGCTATGCCAAGATGGAGCGTTGCCAGCTGGGGCCTATCTGGCAGGTTACACTCTCTTTAGTAAGATAACTCACTTAGCGCTAACCTAGTGCTCTTTACCCGAATATCCTGCAGCACTCACCAAGGGAGGGTGCGGCTGCACGCCATGCTCCAGGTCTGTGGGCTGCATGTGACCACCTTAGTCTGGTGTTCCAGCAGGTACAGAGCCAGGGAACCTCTCTCGGGACACTGCCAAGCTTTGTCTGTGAACTCCAGACAGCTGCCCAGCTAGCCTGACGGGCATTAACCTCTTCCCCGCCCCCCCAGTACCTACTAGGGAGGAGTAACCCCCTTTAGGGAGGGGAAGAGGGGAGCACAAACTGCCATTGGAACTAGCTGGCCCACAGCCCTGTGACTACCCTCTCTTCACGGAACAGGACAAGCTGCCCGTCATATGCTACGTTCTGACCGAGATGGGAGAGAGGACTCGGTCCTCGGCCTTTCCCCCAGGAGTGACAGCACCAACTGCACCCGTGGCTCTTCGATACAGGCACGTGTCCACTCAGAATGGGGCTTTGCGTGGGGTCCACCACACAGCATGGTAGCGACCCTGGCTCCTGTCCCAGGCTGGACACAGCAGCATAACCGTCTAGTCTCCCTACAGAAAATAATGTACAGGAGTCCTGCCTTTTAGGAAGGGGAGCAAGGCCTGTTGCCTTCCCTGGGGACAGAGAAGCTGAGACGTAATCAAAGCCAGACATCTGCCTTTGTATTTGCACATGTGCAAAATTACTTCACTGCTGAGTCTCCGGCCTACTCAAAACCAAGCCACTCAGCACGAGGGTGCTGAAATCTCTTCAGGAGAGGGCAGCTCTGCTGCCTCCGGGAAAGCAACGCCAGTATCTAGCCTCTGGGGATGAGGCCGATCGATCTGACCTGGGAAATCCGAAGAGAAAGCTGGCCCTGTGCAGAATTGGACAGCCTTTACAGTTTAGGGCAACTGGCCACTGAAGTCTGAACAAACTCTCCCCCTCCCCCGCAAACAAAATATTATTTCTTGAACTGACCAAACACATCCAGGCCACGCATACGCGTAGCATGCTCCTGGCAGACACTGGAGCTGCCCACGGACCTGTCAGAACCCATGCCACACCTCTCAGAGTGCAATGTCTGCACAGAGCCGGGTGGAAACCCGTGCCTGGAATACAAGTGCAAGGCTGTACTGGGAAGAGGCAGGAGGAGCGACGCTAGCAAAGGTACTAAGAAATGTTCGCACAAGAGCAGGCGTGAGGACGGAAGGAGAAGAGACATCTCCCGTGGTTCTTAGATTAATACTCTTGGACTGACAACATTCAAACAAACGTCTGCGCAGTGTCCTGGAGCCCTTACGTTTGGTTTTATAGGTTGCTAGGAAACCCTCTTAGACTCAAGAGTTCCAGCACAGTGTCCCCACTCCATATTATCTCTGTACGGAGACCTCGAGATGCTACTTCCTAGATACAGGCAAGAACCTGCAGAGGGAAAAAGATAGAAAAAAGAATAGAAAAAAAGCTTTCAGTGAACTTTAGCGCTGGTGAAAGGTGCTCGGACAACAGCCTGGGAGAAGAAAACCCTCCGTTATCCAGAGCCCAGGCTTCCGCCGTGCCGCAGACCCACTGAGGGAGTAGGGGCGTAGTCTCCATGGCCCATTCTCGCCTGGTCGTCTCTGCTGAGGCCTCCAGACAAGGGGGCTCACAACTGACACCAATTGTGATGGTTCTGTTTTGACGTAGGCACCCACCATGCAAGAATCCCAACTCATTTCACACAGCAGCTCGCACCCTTTGAGTTTAATGGTAAGGAATGAGCCAGGATCAGAGCAAACGCACACTCCACTCAAGCCAAGTTGGGTGTGGGCCAGGCGCCCCGATCCTGCCGAAGGAGACAGAGACGGGTCTCGGGGAATCCCCCACAGAGGGTTTCACGCACGTCAAGAGAGTGGTAACAATGCAGACGAAGGACAAAGTGGTTCGGACGCTAGCGGCCACAGAACCAAACCTTCCAGGCGCTTTTCACGGGTCAGTTTGCCTTCTTGCCCAGTCTTTTAAAGACACTAACAGTCCCTGTATTGTCCATCTGAGCACTATAGATTTCACTGGTGCTGCTTACCTTAGCACTACCCAAAGTCCTCTTTAGAGTGACCCTGAATTGCGGCTCAGCTTTGTTCTTCGTGCTGGTGACGCTGCTGTCCTGGGCCTCGGTGGGCAGGGCGGGCTTGCCCAGTCTCTGTACGACACTGACTTTGGACGCTGATTCCGGCTTCTTTTCCTTCGCCGCCAGGCTAGTGCTCTTGTTGCCAAGTCGCCGAATGGTCGTCACAGCTGGTTTTGCCTCCGAGCTCGTGGCTTTTGCTTTGATGGTTACTCCTGGTTTGGCACTTTCCTTGCGTAAAGGCTTGGAGAGCTTCTTCAGGACCCCAGCATACTGCAGGACGGAGCAGTCGTCGTCGCTCTCTGTGACTTTATCCTCCTCTGCCTCCAGTGTGTCCCCCAGTCGGCTGAAGACCCCTGTAGGCTGCAATGCATCCCAGGCATTAGTCACACATGCGCAAAAGGAATAAAAATGGGAAGGCAGTTTGGCCTAGTGGACTGAGAACTGGACTGGGACACAGGTTCTGTTCCCAGCTCCGCTATCTGCCTGCTGGGTGACCTGGGGAAAGTCCCCTTTCCGCACCACGCCTCAGTTTCCCCAAATGGGAGAAATTATATAGCCCTCTTTTGCAATGTGCTCCGAGATGCACTGACAAAAAGTGCTAGATCAGAGCAAGGGATTATTCTTCTCCTAAAACGGAGCATGGTCGGTAAAATATTCTTCCACTTCATGTTCATTGGAGAGAGCCATACAATTCTGGAGGGTTAATAATCACACGACCACCTTGCTCTGACGTAGAAATTTCTGTCTCTAGATCTCAACACGAGATCAGTATCTAGCCCATAGCAGAGTTGGGGAAACTGAGGAACAGGGGGGCATGACTAGCCCAAGGTCACCCAGAGGTTGGTGGCAGAGCTGGGAACAGATCGCAGGATTCCTCAATCCCAGTCCAGCACCACGTCTCTGTTTCAGGTGTGCCTCAGGTTTTGATGTGAATGTGCTAACAGTGACAGGTGTTACGTGTCAACCATAGAGACCCAAGTCCTTCACCTCCAGAACAGGCAGAGAAGCATCAGGGCACGTGCTTCCCCCCTCCCCCGACATGCACACCATGGCCCAGAGGGGACCTTCGTTTCCGTGGATCATTTAATACCCTCTCTTGGTTAAGGCGGCCAACAAGGCCGCTAAGTATCGTGGTTATTTCTGTGACACGAGCACCTGTCCACTAGGAATGGATCCCAGACCTGAATCTTTTCACAGAGGCCGCAAACGGCCAGGGAGCGGAGGGTTTGCTCTCTCTGATTTAATGAACGCCAGCTGTAGCAGAAATGACCTGACCCCTTCTCAGCCTTTCAACTGTGGCTGCGGATCCTGAATGAATCGACGGGAAGGCAATGAAGGCGGCTGTGAGAACAGGAACGCTCAGGTTGGGAGCCCAAGTACACCAGCGATGGGCCACAGAGCTGTAACACCTGAGCTGGAGGAGAAGGAGCTCCGAGACCCCTCCACCAACAGCATTTCTGCCCTGTGCGTGCAAAGTGTACACGCCTGGCTATGACACCAGGAGCCAGACTGTCCCACCCTCACGGTGAGCCATGCCCTGGATTTCAATGGAACACAGAGCACAGCAAGGGACTTCTGGCCAGGACGCAGGGCGCTCGCAGCCCCTGTGCTCTCTCACAAGCTAGTCAGGTTCCACCACCCTGGAAACACCCTTCCCTCTCACCTTATTCCCAGTGGTTGTGTCTGCCTTCATCTCAGCTCCCAGCCGGTCAAACACAGATGTCCTGGGCACACCTGGCAGCAGCAAAGATGAGAGAAGGGCTTTCAGGCTTCCACAAGAAGGAAACTGGGGAAGGTTTTAGGAAACCCACAAGGGGCATCACGTCGGATGTGAGCCAAGTTCAGCAGGAAACGGCCATCTTGCCTCTATAAATCCCCCCCCCCCGGCCCGTTGGCAGCAGATGCTGCAAACCCCACTGCAGACGGTACCTACACCGACATCCGAAGGAGAATATTTGACGTGCCTCTCCAACTCTTCCTTCCAAAGGCTCACAAAGAGCTGCAAAGACTTCGTGTGCGCACAGCACTCCTAACATGCAGCCACCTCTGGAGTGGAGCACAGCGGCCAGGGTACAACATGCTGCTCGACGTTGCAGGAAAGGAACACTTGGCCAGGACTCTCACAGAAACCAGCCAGGTGCTCTCGGGCTCTCCGCATGACTCTCAACAGGACCTTGGCTTTCAGGCCTCCCTTGAAAGTCCCACATACACGAAGGCCTTGTCCAGGCTAAAAAGTTGCCCCCCTTCAACTATAGCAGCCTAACTGAATGTCCACAACCCCTCATGTGGACGCAGTGCCCAGATGCTTTACCCCAGTACAGCTATTTCCACATGGGGAGAGGAATAAGCTGTGCCAGTACAAGGCACCTTGGTACCCATAAATGCTTCCACACTAGGGGCTGTACCAGTATAACCACACTGTTAATGATATCACACCCACTAGTACCAACTCCATGTCTAGATCAGGCCTCATGTGTGTGACCCCTAGTTTGTCAGTCTCACAGGGCTGGTTCGATGTGGCTCGCCCCCCTTCCCCGTCACACGACCTCGTTGAGCGGGCGTGGAAGTACCGTTCACCTTCTATTTTACAAGCGTGTCTTAAGTACTAGGTCTCTGCTAATCACCAGCAGCCACATTCGCTGTAAGACATCAGGGGGCAGGCAGTGCAGCTGTACCCATGTCAGACAGTAGAGACAAGGGGAGTGAGGTAATAGCTTTTGCTGGACCAACTTCTGCTGGTGAGAGACAAGCACAGAGCTCTTCTTCAGGGCTGGGAAGCGTACCTGGAGCGTCACAACTAACTACAGGGTGGAACAGATTGTTTAGCATAAGTCGCTAGCACAGATCGTAAGACTGAATGTGCTAAACTCTGTTCCGCCTTGCACTTTGCTGGGAGTTCCTTCCCAGCCCTGATGGAGGGCTCTGTGTGACTGGAAAGCTGGTCTCTCTCACCACCAGAAGTTGGTCCAATAAAAGATATGAGCTCCTCCACCTGGTCTCTCTTGATGCGGGGTTCGTCCATGTGCCAAATGGATCTGGGGAAGGCACAGACACACACTTTGCCAAGGGGCTAAGAACATACCAGTGGTACCTTTTGCTGCCTGCTGTTCCAGGATTTTCTTAGTCCTGGGCGTGGTACCTTTTGGCATGTTGATGATGTACTTCCCTTCCATCTCCGCTGTAACTCGTCGTCGCTTCACCGGGCCCACCAGGCTCTCGTCCGCTGGATCGCATAAAGCTGGGGAAAAGCCAAAGGGGAGAAGAGATCAGACTCTGCTAACTCCAGCTTTACCCCATCAGCTCCCGCACTCCGGGGACCCTGCTGGATAAAGCGTTTTGCTTCCAGAGGCTCGGGGCAGAGGAGTCAATATTTAGGGACGGATTAAGGCAGACAGCTCTGCAGCCCCACCAGTCACACTTTGTGGCCAGAGTTGAGTACCCTAGAGCAGCTGTGATGCACTCTCTGCTCTCCAGAAGGCCTGCAGAGAAGGCAGCTGCTTGGCCTCAGTGACTGGCAAATCCACTGCAGATGAACAGTTTGGGGAAAGAGAAAGAGACCCATCAAAGAACACTACGGACACTGCATCCCATGCTGCACTTGGTTCCTCTCTTGGGCTGTAGCGTCACTGGTGACCACACCGCACTGCTCAGGAGTGGATCTGGTAGAACTAACTGAAGTCTCCACAAGGAGCCCTCACTCCAAAGCTCCCTCCACTGCTTCATCCCCAGAACTGGGGCAGGGCTGCCAGCTGCTCTGGGTGTGCCAATACAGCTATCCGTGAGGCCATTTGCTCTGTTCCAGCCGGTCTTCCCACGAACTAGTCTGAGCTCCCTGTTCCATCCAAAGAGCTTTTGGGAGATCGTTACATGACCCAGAAGGTTCCCTGGTCACCACTTCTGCCCAGAGGCCTTTATGCAGTGATTTAAGAACACAGTTGGGTTTATTTCTGTGGCCCTGTTTTTCCACCATATTCCTTTCATATAGGACCCAGCTAATAATGAGGCAACTACAAAACCAGAGTTGCTAAGTACATTTCAGTGCTGGACTTTGGATCAGAACAACTGGCAGAAATATTCCCCCAAAGTCCCTGTGCAGTGCAGATCACCTGTGACCCAGCTGCCATTTGAGTAAGACTTTAGCATTAGCAGGCCTGCCAGCTGTGGGACTCACATCCTCTATCCAACAAAGTACATACAGGGGGTAGCCCTGGAGGGAGCCCCCGCATCCCCCAGGAGAGCTCGCTCTCTGCTGATCATGCAGCCCTTGGCTCCCCTGCTGGGAATATTGACAACCACTTATTGTTGTTAGTTGTGGGGGTGGATTTCAGCGAAGGGAATATCTGTCCTCTGGGACCTGGACTGAGACCCCCATTGATGGATTTGGAGTTGCCTGTAACGATCTATGAATTTTATATGCTCTATATGTTTGTCTGAGTATTGCAGAAATGTTTACTGTTATGCACACACTGCATTAATTCAGTAACCAGGGGGACAGGAAACTACCTAGGAAAACAGACAACAGCCCAGATAGGAGCCCCATAGCAAACACCCCAGACAATTAACTGTGATATGCTGCCGCCAAACCCAGCTTTCCCAGAACTGGGACACACAGAGTTCAGGAATGGGGAAGAGCTCAAAAGCCTGAGGTGGATTTAAAGAAACATGCTCCGTGGAGGGGAGAGAGATTGGTTTGGATAGACAGTTAACGGGGAGAAACTGCCCCCCGACTTCCTGAGGCTGAGGGTGATGAGGAAGCTGAGTCTGCTAGGGTCTCTGCCAAAGGAAGACGAGCCTCTAGGCAGGTAAACACCCATGTGGGCTTTTTTCTGTTTTAAGCTCTATTCTCTTGTTAGGCCGGGTTCCTCCTGCTGAGATTAAACAATGCTCTGTTTTAAGAGGGCTGGTTGGGGTCACTGTGTCCAGTGCTGGTCACAAGCCCCAGGGGAACAGACCTGTGGCTTCTGAGGTCAGTAGCACCTGCTGGGCATAAGCACAGTGCCATAGCCTCGTATCCCAGTCTGAGAGCGGGAGAATCCTGAGAGAATAGGTGCACTTGGACAAGACCACAAGAGGGGACAGAGGGGCAGAAATTCCTGAACCATGACCACCACCAACAGCTACTAGATGGCAGCACCTCTAGACTAGGCTGGATCTGAACTGGTGACCTGGAAGTGGGAGGTTATGGATATAATGGCAATTTTGAGATTCCCCCCCCTCTAAATGTAAATTAGAACGGTAATTTACATTTACACAGCACCTTACAGGCCCATATCACAAAACATAATCAGTAATCACACAACCAGGCAGAAATCACCACGCTCACCACTGAAACGCAACCAGCTCTGGGGTGGAGCACAGCAGCGGGTAAGTAGCTCACAGCAACAGTACCTAACACTTTAGAATAATGAGAGAAAAAAAGAGCTCCCAATGCTGCATTTCAGAGGTTTCCCTCATACCTGCTTTTGCGTTCTTCACAGCCATTTTGTTGGACACAGTAACAGAGATTTTGGACGTACTGGTGTCGGGTCTACGGACAGGGGTAGCAGGTGGCGAATCTCGGCTTAAACTGTTAGCGATCATACGGGTGGCAGCTGGAAGGCAAGAATAGCTGGTGACAGAGCAGCATCAGGCACCGGTGACGTATTCCTAGCGTACATGATGGAGCGGGGCTCCTGTTCTGCTCCCTAGCTCCCAACCCCCAGGGGCTTGGTCAGGCTGAGAAGGAAAAAGCATCCCTGTGTGCTAGCCCTGCCCCGTTAAACAACGGAGTGGTGCAGAGGACGACGGGTATTACAATTGCTGCCTACACCCCAGGAAAGCAGGAGAGCCAGCAACGAAGTCATTTCCCAAGCAATTCTAGTACCATATTCATAAAGACAAGAGACTGCGTCCTGGGAAGCTAAAAGCCACTAAGCTGAGAGTGGCCAAAGCGTGGCCCAGACAATGGCACCCTCCTTTGAATACAGAAGAGCAGCCCATAGGGAACATCAGGCCTAGTGGGAATCACCAGACAGACAGAATCAAGCCAGCGCATCTTCTGCTGGGACCTGAGGTCTCCATGGGCTACAGATCAGTACTGAAGATGAAGACAGCTGCCACATGCTCCAGCATATGTAGATTAGGTGTGAGACTCCCTTTCGGAGGAGACGCGAGGCGGAACACCGGAGCTTAGGAGGGGGAAGGAGAGACCCGATTTACGGCGCGTGCCGAAGCCCAGGGTCGGTCCCGCGGGCCCGTACGTACCGCTGGTGGTGCTCCTGCGGCGCTCGGACTGCGCACTTGGCTGGTTGGAGGACACCGATTCAGTAGCTGCCTTGCACATCTCCTAAAAGAGACCAAGGCGATTTCCCGTTTGACAGGATTTCCCGTCACCCTTGCTCTCCCTGACAGTGTGGAGGCAAAGTCCCAACGCAATATGAAGGCTCCGTTCAAGCAGAGCAAACACCCGCATGGTTCTCGGACTCCCCTCGGGATGGTTCTTAGGGCTGAAGCAGCATGGACACCCGGCTCCCTCAGATGGGCCGGACGGCTCCAAACAGGCCAATACAGCGTAAGAGCCGCTCTCTGCCCAGGGTTTGGCATAGGAATGAGCTTATGTCTAGCACTTTCCCCTCACCTCTCAAGTTCAGCATTCGTCGGGAAGTGAGCACTGTCTAGTGCTCAGAGAAAGGGGCCAGAGTCAGAACTCCTGGGTTCTATTCCAAACTCTGCCAGTAACTTGCTATGTGACCCCAGTCATGCAGCCTTACGTCGCTGCCTCGCTTTACTCCATACACAAAACGGGGGCATAGGCTCCCCTCCTACGCCACTGGACTGTTGTCCAGCCTGGCTGTGTGGGTTCAGAGCAGGCGGAGAGCTTTAAACGGAAGGTGCTATGGGAATGCGTTAGAACACTAGGAAGGGTTTCATGGGCTGCCACATCTCTCCTGGCGGGCAGGGAGATAGCTCAGCGGTTTGAGCATTGGCCTGCTAAACCCAGGGTTGTGAGTTCAATCCTTGAGGGGGCCATTTGGGATCTGGGCCAAAAATTGGGGATTGGTCCTGCTTTGAGCAGGGGGTTGGACTAGATGACCTCCTGAGGTCTCTTCCAACCCTGAATTTCTATGATTTCATCTTTAAAATTCATAACTATTAAGGCCAGAACAGACCACTATCATCCAGTCTGGCCTCCTAAACAACACAGGCCAGAGGGTTTACTCCAGTGAGTCCTGGATCCAGCCCAGTAGCTGGCAATTGAAAGAAAGAAGAATCCAGCCTTGAGCTGAAGTCTCCAAATCCTGGAGACTCCACCACACCCTTTGGAAAGCTGTCCCGATGGTTAATTACCCTCACTTTCCAATGTGAGCCTTGCTTCTGGGTAAATCCAGAGGCATTCCCAAAGGGCAGAAGTCACTGAAGTTTAGAAAATTTGATTCCTAGAATATTTTACACCCTGTGGTTCAAAGGCCGGGCACCAAGCTCCGGCTGTCCACAGAAAAGCCTACTTGAGCTCACACTGATGAGGAAGAGTGCAAACCAACCAACTGGTGTGACCAGTGCAAACCAACCCACCGACAGACAGATTACCTGTCTGTAAACAACTTTAGCGTGCTTGAGGATAGCGATAATATCCCCCACCACCGTGATCCCTAGCTCATTCATGATCTCCTTGTTCAGGTCCAGCAGCATGTTCTTCTGGATTCTGTAGAGAACAAAGCATGGAGCAAATACTTCATCAATGGGTAAAGACTTTCCATACCCTACACTGGAGGATCTCAAAGTGTTTACAAGTTAACTGACCCTCATGAACCCCATGCAAGATAATTAAAGTACAAAAAGATCATATCTCAGCTCTGCGATGGAGGGCAGCAGCTGGTAACAGAACACAGCTAGGCTGCACAATGCTGGAAGGGAAAGAGAATCAGGTATCCGATTAATATTAATGTAACTAATTAAGCAGACCGGAATTTGGCTAGGACACCAGGGCTAATACCCTTTCTTTCTCCTGCAAAATATATCATAGGATCTTCATGCCCACAAGTGCTGGGAAGCTCAGGGTCAGATCACCTGACAGAATTCTCATGTGTCACCCCTGCTGGGTGACCAAGGAGCGCTGCTGAAAGGCTGGAGCGAAGAGCTATGTCCATTCCTCCCAGCAAAAGAATACTGGTGGAATGTGAGCAGCATCCTCACTGGGGCTGCAGGGTGTGGAGCCCAGGACTCCGCACAGAACGATGGGGACTAGAACGGCTAGGAGCAAGATTCCAAGGCCAGAAGGGACCATTGTGAACACTAGTCTGACCCCCTGTAGAGCACAGGCCAGAGACCTGCCGCGCATGAAATCCTACAGCCGAGCTTTTAGAAAAACATCCAATCCTGATTTAAACTGGCAGTGATGGAGAATCCCCCACACCCCTGGGTAAGATGTTCCAATGCTAATTATCCTCCAACAATTAATTACCCAAGAGATTCTTTAGTGGCAAACTTGTCCCTCCCACCCAGAAAGGAAGTCCCTATTCAACTCAAGAGACGTTTAACTCACCCTGAGACAATTAATATTTAACATACACAGGGCTATTTACACCTGCAAAGTATTCTAAAAGCAGCATGTCTTCTCACCCGCTGAGGCAGGGAGCAGGGACGTGAGCTGCCGTAAGCACAGAGAGCGCCCAATGTTTAGCATGTACCCCTTTCCTTTAGCCTGGGCTAATGAAGAAATAAGTCTGCCGCTGACACTGTGAAGCATGTTCAGTTCAGGATGTTCAAGTCCACTATTTTATTTTAAGTGATGGAAAATGGTTGCCTGTGTCTCGCTGAAGCCTCACCTGTTATCCACAAACATAACCGCATAGTTGACAGCAGGGCCTGGAGGAATCCCAGCTTCCTTAAAAAACTGAATCCACTCAGATGTAGCTGAAAGATGCAAGACACAAAACAGATCCAAAGTAATGTGATTAAATTAACAGCAGTCTGCTCTGATGCCCTCGAACCAGGCAGAGATCTGACAAGAGCTGCAGGCCCCCAGAGTAGTCATCCTGCCACCCAATACATGCAGTGGCAGTGACAACTGCTTGAGACACAGGGAGAGAGAAACAGACAAAAAATAGAGAAATCATAAATCACCATAATACGATAGCCTGTGGATGATCAGAAAACACTGCCCATTGTGCTGAACAACATGGTCTCATCATTGCCTGATACTCCCTGGCTGGCTGTCGTCTCGTTTGACACTTCCATTGTTTACTCATTGAGGCATGCATCATCTCTCTGTTGTGGCTGTACAGTGCCTCCCACAGAGAAACTACAACCTGATGCACTGTAGGTCAGTTAGATGCATCTCCTGGGCTCCTGGCAAGTCACTACTCTGGCCCTCAGGCAAACCTTTGAGTCCCCACAGTGCTACTTGGAAAGTCCTGAGACTCCCACACAGCAGCAGGGTAAATCAGTACCAAGCAGGTGCCTTCCTTCCCTCCCTCTAGCCAGTTTTGTGTAGATTCAACATTATTCTTTCATGAAGATGTTGGTGTTACTTCTCTGGGGGGAGGAAAAGAATCAGTGGGTGGCTAAACCTTTACGAGCCACAAATCATCACACAGCTATTACTGAAAATGCTTCACTGCAGCTTCCTTATCCATCAAATTCTTAGTCATTTGGAAACACAGAGAGGAGAGAGAAACCTAAATTAAAGCAGCATCACATCATCAGCTGGTACATTCAATCTGAAAGCATGGAATGTATTCTAAGCTCAAGCTTCATGAAGTAAAGTGAGAATGAAACAAAACTCAGAATTAAAGTACGAACTCTTCATAATCCACCCTCAAGTTTATCAGAATTGCAGAGGACTCTAAACAACAGCAGGACATTATGCTCTATGTGCTGCAACAGGCAGTGGAGTCACGAGCTTTATCTCTGGATTTCCTGGCCTTTGGAGGTTTCAGTCATGATCGTAATGTCACTTCAGTATCTTTTCTGTGGTTTAGCACACAGATCCCTGGCACCACATGCCGAGCATTCACAGCTGCTGTCACACATCAGCCTGGCTGCTCAAGCACCAGCCGCTGAATTCCTCTGACATTTAAATATGCCACAAAAGTTAGCGATAAAATCTGCTCTTCTGAGCACCTTTACGCCGGGGCTATCGTCTTACTGAGATCTCTGTTTACACAAGAAGGGGGATACCTTCAAAAATCAAAATAGCCTCATTTCAGACTTACCCATTGTAACTGACACCATTGTGGGAAATCCAGAAAGACCCCGGCGGGGCCTGGCTATCACGTTGGTGAAAAGCCTGCAATGAAGCAACATATTATTAAGGCAACTGTGCTTCACAAATGACGCAGGCAGAATTCCATCGCTGGCATTCATGGAACAAGAATAGCCCATTACCCACTCCCAGGCCAGGAGTTTAAAGCACAACGCCCCCAGTCTGGTTCTACAATGGCGGCTCTTATGACAGGAAGGGATTTTTGACAGACCACGTTAGGCTCTCGTCCTTTGCCCTGGGCTACAAATACTTCAGTGCTTTTTAAAGAGGCAGCCGCAGAGGGCAGTGGCAGCTCATGGAGACCATGCAGACGCACATGGTGACAATGGTGGTCAGTTTCCTGTATATCCTGTCCCTAGCTCATTACTTGAGGGCATTTTTAGGATCATGATCTGGTTGCTAAGATTTCCTTCTCTCCTGCAGCTTGTCTCCCCCTCGAGGTCATGATTCTCTGTCATTATCCCTCCAGGGTCTTGTTATCATGCACTGCTGGAGCAAATGAACATCTACTTCGGACCCGCGCTTCCAGAGGGTTCAGAGCGGGGCCTGCTGCTCTGGCAGCGTACGGTGACTTGAGTGGGTGCTTGGTGAGCATGTTTGCTTGCCTGGCTGGGACTATTTCCCTATTAGAGGAGGGGACAGAGATTTCCATGCTTCAGCCAGCGAATGAAAGTTAAAAAATGGACGGGCCGCGGCCACAGGAACCAATAACTAGCAGCTGCTCACCAGGCTTTCTGAGGGCTGGAATCAGGGCTGGGACCTCGAGAGCTCGGCTAGCCCAAAGCCCTGCACTCAAGGCAGGAGGGCTGGTCCCACCATGATTCCAGCTGGACCAGCAAGAGTGGCTGGTTTTGTTGGGCCACTGCCTGGGTTCAAACCCCCGCTAGGGACACAAACTGCTTAGTCTAATGCAGGAGATCAGGAACCCACGACCCCTACCCCACGACCCCTCTCAAATCCCCAGGAATTTCTCCCCCCTAAAATCCTCAGTAGCCACCTCGCCCTCCATGTGCTGAGCGAATTCCTCCCCGATAGTCCCCCAGACTCCCCACAGTCCCATCCCCAGCCCCCCCACTCTCCCTCAGACACCCCCCATGCCCCGACACCCCCTAGTCACCATGGCCCCCACCCCTATCCCCTGCCCCCCAACTCTCCCCCAGACTCCCCCGCGCCCTCCGTCACCACTGCCCCGCCCCCATCCCCTGCCCCCCAACTCTCCCCCAGACCCCCCCGTCACCACGGCCCCGCCCCCATCCCCTGCCCCCCAACTCTCCCCCAGACTCCCCCGTCACCACGGCCCCGCCCCCATCCCCTGCCCCCCAACTCTCCCCCAGACCACCCCGTCACCACGGCCCCGCCCCCATCCCCTGCCCCCCAACTCTGCCTCAGACCCCCCCCCCCGGTCACCACGGCCCCGCCCCCATCCCCTGCCCCCCAACTCTCCCCCCAGACCCCCCCGCGCCCCCCCGTCACCACGGCCCCGCCCCCATCCCCTGCCCCCCAACTCTCCCCCAGACCCCCCCCGCGCCCCCCCGTCACCACTGCCCCGCCCCCCAGCTCTCCCCCAGACCCCCCCGCGCCCCCCCCGTCACCACTGCCCCGCCCCCCAGCTCTCCCCCAGACCCCCCCGCTCACCGCCGCGCCGGCCCGGCCTCTCCGCTGCTCCGCGGGGCCCGGAGCCAGGCCCAGCCGGAAGCGCCGACCAGCGAGAACAGGAAGTGACCTCCCCTGCGGCCCGCGCAGAGCCGCCTCTAGGCAGCGGGAACCATAGAGCGCGGGGCGGCCTCGGCCTCGGCCCCGCCCCCTGGGCCTGGCTGCGCACGGTCACCCCTGCCCCGCGCCTGCGCGACCGGAGCCCGGCGCCTGGGTTCTCTCCCGGCCCTGGGCGGGGCTGGGGCCCGGACGCCTGGGTTCTCTCCCGGCCCTGGGCGAGGAGTGGGGGCCCGGACGCCTGAGTTCTCTCGCGGCCCGGGGAGGGGGAGGGGGCCCGGACGCCTGGGTTCTCTCCCGGCCGCCTGGGTTCTCTCCCGGCCCTGGGCGGGGAGTGGGGGCCCGGACGCCTGAGTTCTCTCGCGGCCCGGGGAGGGGGCCCGGACGCCTGGGTTCTCTCCCGGCCCTGGGCGGGGAGTGGGGGCCCGGACGCCTGAGTTCTCTCGCGGCCCTGGGAGTGGGAGGGGGCCCGGACGCCTGGGTTCCCTCCCGGCCCTGGGCTGGGGGGTGGGGCCCGGACGCCTGGGTTCCTCCCGGCCCTGGGAGGGAGGGTGGGTGGGGGCTCGTGGTTAGGGCTGGGAGCCCGGACGCCTGGGTTCTTGTCCCCAGCTCTTGCCACAAACTCCCTAGCCAGCACCCTGTGTCATCATAGAAGATCAGGGCTGGAAGGAACCTCAGGAGGCATCTAGTCCAACCCCCTGCTCAGAGCAGGACCAATCCCTCACAACTCATCCCAGCCAGGGCTTTGTCAAGCCAGGCCTTAAAAACCTCCAAGGAAGGAGACAAATGTGTGGCCCAAGGAATCTTCTCCACTCGCTCAGCAGGGTGGCAGCATTTCCCAGCCCTGGGTGCAGATAATGCCCCCCGCTGCAAAGCAGGGGAGCGGCCAGCCCTTGTGTCTTTGGGGCATATCCCGGCACCTCTGTGCCTCAGTTTCCCTCTCTGTAAAACAAGGATCCGCACCCCTCCTCCCAGGTGGAGCGGGCCTGATCTTGAAGTACGTGACAGACACTGTAATAACAAAGGGCTTTGCTTGCCCTGTCCCACCTCTCTCCATAAGAGGGAGCAACCACACAAAAAAACAGCCTCACGCCGGGCTACAGAGCTCGGTGCTCCAGCCGGCTGCAGGAGTCAGATCAGGAGACTCTAATGGCCCCTTCCCGTTTGGCTTCAAATCTGAGACTGTGCAGTTCACATGGTGGCCGCAGACTCCGCACGCTGTTGGCCGCAATGGAACCATATTGATTGATACCAGCTGAGGCCCTGGCCTCTGACCTGGAAGGAAAGTTGGGGGTCCATAAATCCTGCCTACTTCTGTCTGACAGGAGGGCCCTGGCCGGCTCAGAAGTGTCAGTCCATTCACCTCAAGGGTGCTGGTTTGAATCCAGACTAAACTGTTCCTGTTGCATGGCTCAGTTCAGTTCCCATGTCATCCCTGGACGCCACAAGCTTGGGGGGGCTGGGATGCCTCCATGGCTCATCCAGCCCTCACCCTCTCTGCTCAGGGGGCCCTGATGGGGGGGCCGGGTTTTGTGAAGGCAAGTGACATGCACCCATGGGGGTTGGGAGTGTCACATGATGGGTGGGGCTGGGAAAAGAGGGGCCAGTTTCAAGGGAGACCTGGCTACTTTGGTGTGATACCCAAGGGCCCAGGAAGGAATGCAAGCTGGGCCCTGGGGCTACCAGACCAACGCAGGCCTCTCACTGCGTGACACCGGCCTCAGTGTATGCTCAGTAAAGATCTCTTTCCTACAACTTGGCTTGCTGTGGGTGTAACCCGGAGTTGCTGGGTCAAATCCTGACTCCCCAGGTGTTGCTTAGTCCCCAGTGCTGTAGTCATTGCTCAGTCCAAACCCAGAGCAGATTTGGGTGCGCTGCTTCCTGAGCTATGCCCAATAATCGCCCGGTGCCGAAGTTACGAAGTGAGCCCAGTCATCACTTGGACTGGGTCAAACAGCACAAACGGTGGGACCGGCTGCGCGTTCCTCCCTGGGAGACAGCGGCCTACGCCCGGCGTGCTGGGGCCATGATCCCTTCGTGCTACTGCAATCAGTTCTTAACGGTAATCCCAGTGGGAAAGAGCTCGCTCTGTTCATTTGGGTCAGGGGACCACACCAGCCGACTGACCCAGGCAGGCCGTTGTCTCAGGCTCCGTCTAGCATCCTTCCATCGGCCCAGGACACCAGCCTCCATTGCCCGCCTGTCGAAAGTTCAAACAACCCCTTCGCGCTTTCTCCGGTGTCGCTCCTCCTCGTACAGCTCTGCAAAGCAGCCTCCTTTGCCCAGAAAAAACTTGACAGCGGCTAGGTGGCCGGTGGGCTGAGAGCCCTGCCTGGGTGCTGGCCAGCATCGTCTCATTCCCTCGTGCTCTCCCGCCTGCCAGGATCCAGCTGCCATCTCTTGACTAATACTCAGAGTGTCCTTTTGTCCTGGGTCTGTACAGCACCGGGCGCAAGGGGCTCCTGGGCCATGCTTGGGGCTCCTAGGCCCAACTGTAACTCAGCCAGCGAAGAAGGAGAGAGCAGTGGTCTATGTAGATCGTTAGTACTTGAATTACGGTGGACCGGCTGGGCCCCGAGCTGGGATCAGGCCCGCATTGTGCCGGCTGCTGCACAGACAGAGGGGGGGATGGTCTAACTAGCCCAGACAGCCTAAGGGGGGGAGAAAGGAAGGATGATTCCCTCTGCTACAGACGGGGAAACTGAGGCCCAGGGAGATGCGGTGTCGGGGCAGAGGCAGGCATTGAACCAGACCCGCCAAGTCCGTGCCCAGCGCCTTCCCGAAAGCCCCCCCCCGTCCCGCACCCCCCAGTGCCGCCCAGGAACCGCTGCCGATGGCCGGGGGCGGCCCAGGGGCCACGCAATGGGTGGCCGGGGCAGAGCGCAGCGATGCAAAGCGGGTCCCGCGCCCCCGGTGCACCGGCGCCGGCTCGGGGGGTTTCCGGGCGGGGGCAGGGAAGACCCAGCTCCCGGCCCGGGCCGGGGACCCCGCCCGCAGGAGGGGCAGGCTGGAGGGCGGGCGAGGCTCCACCCCTGGGCGGGGGAAGGCCGCTGTCTCCTCTCCAGGGCCCGGGCTTCGACCTGCTGCGCGCCGGGCGGCGAGGGGACCCAGCCGGAGGGAGCGTGGGAACCGCTGCTCCTGCAGGTAGGTGGGGCAGCGGGGCCAGGGCTGGGCCGGGGAGCGGGACCTTGGCGGAGGGGGGCGCTGTGGGTAAGGCCCACAGGACTATTCTGGGGGGGCTCGGGAGGCAAACCCTCCAGGACCTGAGTCACGGGTGCCCTGCACCTTGTGACCTCAGTGCCACCCGTGCAAAGAGGGGTCAGCAGTGCCAGGCGTGGCGGGAGGTGTGGGGCAGCCCACCCAGAGCAGGAGCCTGGCACGATGCCCACGCCGGCTGGCTCTCGGGCCCAGCTCCGGCATCAAAACCCTGCAGCTATGGCTCCCCCAGGAAACACACAGCTGGACTCCTGCCACCGGCCCCCCCATCACTGGGACGTGGAGACGGTGAACCCCGAGGGAACAGCTAACCTGCCAGGAGCACGCCTGGCCTGTCGCTACAAATGGGCCAGGGCGAGGACCGGACGCTGCTCTCCTGTCCTGGATAAACAACGCATCAGAGCAGCAGAAAGTACAGCAAAGCCACCGGGGATTTTCATCTGTCCCTCTGCAGCCCGGACGTAAGAGACCCTGAGTCCTGGAAGTTGCAGACTTTGTAGAGCAACTGACCCATCTAGGGTCGTGAAGGCCACCTGGCTGTTGTGGGACCTGCCCCAGCTCACGCTGAAGTCAATGGAGAGCCATGTTGATGTCGGTGAGGGCCGAATCAGGGCCCGCAGCACCCGGTGCCTGTGGGTATGGTGGCCGACGGTACGGCATGTTCATGTAAACCGGACACGCTGTGTTGATACGAACTCACCCTGACATGGCATTTTCAGGACAGGGAAATCTCGCAACAGTAACAACCCGCCCTGGTGCTCATGGACTCCGTGTGTTCTGTGTTTCTTCAGGACCTGAATTGGAGAAGTGGAAACAGAGCATCGGATCCTCAGCTGTGTAAATCAGCAGCGCTCCGCTGAAATCCAGGGAGCGACCTCAGTTTGTGCCAGCTGAGGGGCCGGCTCGCAGTGTGAATTATGCTTAGGAACCGGCTGGTGACTCTTGGGGAAAGTCACCAGCTGTTCATTCGGTGTTGGCTTTGGAGAAGTAGGGTTCCCTAGTGGCTAGAGCAGCGGACCAGGAGCCAGGAATCTCGGGGTCAGTTCCTAGCTCTGAGAGTGAAGGGTGGTCTGGTGCTTAGGAAGTCGGACTGGGGGCTGCCAGGATACCTGGGTTGTAGACTTAGTCTGCCACTTCTTGACCTTCGATAACTCACTTCAGCTAATCCAGAGAGAGACCAGGTGGGTGAGGTAAGATCATTTATTGGATCAAGTTCTGTTGGGGAGAGTGGCGAGCTTTCAAGCCACCCAGAAGTTGGTCCAATAAAAGCTATTACATCCCCCCCCTTGTCTCTGTTATATCCTGGGACCCACACGGCTGCAACTACACTGTATTAACCAAGGCCATTTAGCTTCTTCTGCTGAGCCCAGCATCATGGTATCTGACGACCTTACAGGTTTATTAACATGACTACCAGGCGGCCTGTCTCTCTTTGCTCGCTCCTCTCTGCCTCAGTTTTCCCGGTTGTGAAATGGGGACAAGGCTAGTCAGTGCATGCCAGTGAGGGCAGCTGGAGGCTGGCTGGGAAGACACGTTGGGGACGGCTGGTAAAGCAGGTTGGGGACGTGCCAGGCTGTTGGAGGGCCAAGGAGCTGAGCGTGTTTCCTCTCAGTTGTTCTGTAGGAAGTTTTGCAAGAGAACAGATTCAGCAGGATCTTTGCTGGGCTCTCGTCCCATTCTGGAGGCAAAGTCCCGCCAGGCCTGCTAGGACATAGCCACCAGGGCAGGGCGCCAGGCTGCACAGATGGAGATCTACGTTCCCCAGGCCCCCAGAGACCTTGCGCTCAATGGCTACCTTGGCCAGCCCCAGCTTCTCTCCTCGGCTTCCCGGGACAGAGGCCGTGGGCCAGCAGTGTGTAGATTTTGCGGGAGGGGCTGGCAGAGTGGAGCCGGGGGAGTGGGGATGGAGAGAGAATGAAAAGGAGTAAGAGAGCGAGCGGGGGATACACTGATGAGAAATGGCCACAAACCCGGAGAGACGGAGCTGAGCGCGTCAGCACCGGGGCAAGGAGACCGGGTCGTTCCCACGGGGCTAAGGACTCGCTACAGTGAGGGAATTCCATGGCTGGATACTACAGGGAGCAGCATTGGGATTTATTAGGGTAGCGCCCAGGAGCCACAGCCCTGGAGCAGGCCCCCGCTGGGCCAGGCACTGAACAAACACACCCAGAAAATGGTCCCTGCCCCAAACTGCTGACAATCATTAGACACAGGTCAGCGGATGGAGACCGACCGACCCACGGGGGAGCACAGGAAACCAGGAGACTGTTTCAATCGGCCTGAGGGGCAGGGGCCTTGGCCCACCAGCGGCCTAACTGCTGTGAAGGCGTCCCAGCAAAGGAGTGCTTCCCGGCAGGTGCAGGAGGACGAGGAGGGAGCTGGGCCAATGTTTATGGGCGCGCCTCCCCAGTACAAGGGGCAGGAGCAGAGAAAGCACAAAGGGGCAAGTTTGCACATTTAACAAGTTGGAGATGGAGGCTGGGGGTCTGGGCTGATGGGAGCCAGGAGTCGGCATCTAACGAGTGAGGAGAGGTAGGGTGGGGATAGTCCATGGAGAGCCCTGAAAGCAAAGACTCGCAAAGGGAGGGTGATGTAGTCAAAGCCACAGGCTGGACAATCTCTTTGCAGCCACTCTCTGAATGGGCGTGGGGGGGAAGATTGCACGGGTCAAGCCCAGAGAGAAGGAGTTTGCGGCAATCCAGCCGCAATGAGGAAGGTCTGGCTGAGAGGGTTAGCTGTGCGGATGGAGAGGAGAGGCCAGATCTTGGAGATGTTCTGCAGAAAGAGTGGGCAAAGTTTCGATCTAGCCTGGATGTGAGGACCTAGAGAGAGGCCCAAGTCAAAGGGGATGCCCAGGTTAGGAGCCGGAGTGACAGGCATCATGGTGGGGTTGTCCACCGTGAGCAAGAATGGGGGTAACAGGGAGGACTTGGACGGGGAAGATGAAGAGCGGTTTTAGCCATGCGGAGCTTGATCTGCCAGCTGGACCTCCACGAGGAGACCTCACAGAGACAGGCTGAGATTTCAGTTTGGACAGAAGGTGAGAGGTAGGTCAGTGAGACGGTAGCTGAACTGAGGTGTGTAGATGAGATGGCCCAGAGATAAGGTGTAAAGGGAGAAGAAACGGGGACCCAGGACAGAGCTCTGTGGAAACCCCACAGGAAGTTGGAGGAGGGGGTGGATCCAGGACGGGACAGAGTCTCGTCCCCCCTTGGCTTCAAAGATTTCCAGAAGAGCAGGGCTGATGGTGTGAAAGGCAAAGGGGAGAAGGATGGAGCACTGGGTCTGATGTGGGCTAGCAAGGGGTCATTAGAGACTTTGCCACCACCTTTATGTGGGGGCAGGGGAAAGATCTTTCCTGACCTCTGCAGGCAAGCGTCACAGCCCTGAATGTGCTACCTGACCACTCCTGCAGTGAAACCTTCTTCCTTCTTTCTCATTGCCCAAGTCCCCAGCTAGCAAGACACACGACAGCCTCCCCCATGCCGGTGTCTCCAGCCTTGTGACCCATGACGCACGCCCTTGTGACATCCAGCGCAGAAGCCACGAGGCCTGGGGCAGGGAGGGCGATGCCTGGGCGGGAATTCGGCACCCTGCGATTCCTGGGGCAGCGACTGTCTGCGGCGGAACCGGAGAGGTGGGGGAGGCGCTCAGCGCCCATGCACTGTGCCTGCCGCAGGAGTGGCTGGGTCAGAAAACCACGTCCTGCTGCGTACGCTGGGCGTGCGAGGAGAGAAGAACCTGGGGACAGGCAGCTGGGAGAGGAGGGGCCGCTCGCTAGTGAGGGAAGCGGTATGTGTCGGGGCTGAACGGCCGGGGTGCAGGGAATGGCGAGACAGGTCGCTGGGGGTGGGCGGGGATGGATAGCCCAGTGACTTTTTCCTAATTTCAGGCCCACCCAGACTTTATAGGCCACAGCCTCGGCTGGGGCACGTCTTAACTTCACAGGAGCGGAACCGCTGACTCTAGCTGAGGACCTCTGGCTTTAAAGCCCGATCCGAACGCCGCAGGTCCTGGGTTTGGGTTCTGCCTAGGGGAGCGTGTGACTAACTCAACCTGGCAGCTTGCTAGCGGGTGCCTGCTCGGGCCCTCCCAGCTGGCTCGGGGGCTCAGAGGCCGGGGCTAGGAAATCTAGGAAAGTGTGTGTGTTACGAGTGACTCACCCGGGACAAAGGAGAGCAGGCCAGGGGCTTCACGGGCAGGAAGAAAGGTTCCCAGACCGCGGCAAGCACAGCGCAGCCGGGAACTGCCCACGGTTCTGCTCAGAGCCACAGCTGCTGTCATGGCAAGACCCAGGTTACTGCCCAGTGCTAGCAGCCAAGCCCTGTTCGCTGGGGTGCCATCCTGTTTCACCCAGGGACAGACATTTGTAGAGGGGCCCTGAGCTCCAGGCCCCAGCGCAGCTGTCCCCCTTTTCCCCCCCGGCGCTCACAGAGCAGCCATAGAAACGCCAGCCCAGGCCGGAGTGCCGAATCCGTAGCGCTAAGGAGGGTGTGGAAGGGAGAAAGAAACCAGCTGTGGTTCTGGCTCGCAGGGGGAGTTGGCAATGGACGCCCCTCTCACTGGTGAGCGGATCACGTTTGCCCTGGAATCGCGGAGAGAATCCATGTGGCGGTCACAGGGTTACTTACAGCCAGTCACCTTCTCGAGTATAATCCAGCAGGACCCGATTCTGATCTCACTCCCGCTGGCTTAAGTGAGGTGTAACTCCAGTGAAATCATGTTCTGCTCCCATTTGGCCTTTCCCAGGTTTGCTGGTTCGGTCTCCTGCTGCGTGACTCAACCCTGGCTCTACGAGGTTCTGGGAAAATGAAGCCCTCTGTGACCCCCAACAAGGTCTGCCTTAGAAACGGACACGAACGCTGCGTCTCCTCCTTGGTCCCTGCCGTTGGCTGCGCTCGGGACGGTCCCAAGTCTGTGTGGGCTCCGGTGAGAATGTCCTGGGGTCTCTTTATCCTGTTCTTTGTATACACGCGTGAGGGTAGGGAAATGCTGAGCCCCAACATACGTCCCTCGGTCTGCGATTAACCCAGGAGGAGCCTGGCAGATGCCTGAGGGCTGCCGTGCCCTAGGATTCTGCAGCAACATTACCCTGCTTCCGCGTTTTCCTGAACAGGGCTGTGTTGGTGCTCTGGCCGGAGGCAGCTCTGAGGACTGGAGCAGCCAGGGGTCATGGAGTAGAAGCATCTACCCGGCCTGAATCTAGCTTGCTCTCAGCCCTCCGTAGAACAGGGGCATCCACATGCATTCGTGGTGCGTTCTGCAGCCAGGGGTAATGGCTGGGACGGAGGCAGCTGGGCCTGGGCCAGGGTCGAAGGGAAGAGGCAGGGCCCAAGATGAGGTCTGCAGCAGCAGCAAGCCGGGGTCGGCTTTGCTGCTCGGGAACTTCTGGTTTACCCGGCTAGTGCGGCTGAATTGGGCAGCCCCAGGGTGACGTCGCTCTGCCTCACCCTCCAGTAATTGGTGGACATCACTTCGCTGAGCTCCCCAGAGGCAATGTGGTGCATCAGTTACCCAGGTTCCCACAAGCCTGGGTTCTAGACCCCCAGACCCTTACAAAAGGGGCCAGTGGCCAAATTCCCAGCAAAATAGCAGGACTGAGATTTGAGCTGAGGAGATAATTTTGCCAGATACCCTTAATGCAGGGATGGGCAAAGTACGGCCCAGGGCCACATCCGGCCCTCCAGACATTTTAATCTGGCCCTTGAGCTCCCGCCAGGGAACAGGGTCCAGGGCTTGCCCCGCTCCAGCTGGGGAGTGGGGTTGGGGGCTTGCCCCACTCTGTGAGGCTCCCAGAAACAGCGGCATGTCCCCCCTCCAGCTCCTACATGTAGGGCAGCCTGGGGGCTCCCCACACTCCCCCTGCCCCAAGCACTGCCCCCGCAGCTCCCATTGGCCGGGAACCGCAGCCAATGGGAGCTGCAGGGGTGGCACCTGTGGACAGGGCAGTGTGCAGAGCCCCCTGGCTGTCCCAACGTGTAGGAGCTGGAGAGGGGACATGCCACTACTTCTGGGAGCTGCTTAAGGTAAGCGCCGCCTGGAGCGTGCCCCCCTGCCCCCCTCCTGCACCCCAACCCCCTGCCCTGATCCCCCTCCCACCCTCCAAACACCTCTGTCCCAGCCCCCAGCAACCTCCTGCACTCCTAATCCCCCAGCCCCATCCCAGAGCCCACACCTCCAGCCAGAGCCCTTCCCCCAACCCCCTGCCCCAGCCCGGAGCCCCAGCCCGCACTCTGAACTCCTAATGTCTGGCCCCACCCCAGAGCCCACACCCCCAGCCAGAGCCCTCTCGCCCTCCTGCACCCCAACCCTGAATTTTGTGAGCATTCATGGCCCACCACACAATTTCCGTAGCCAGATGTGGCCCTTGGACCAAAAAGTTTGCCCACCCCTGCCCTTAATGTTTGGCTGTGATAGTAAAATGCTCACTCAAAGGCCCAGGAGGCCTTGCTCTGGAATCTTCCCTCAGCTGAACCTGCACAGAGCCCCTGGGTTAGGTTCTCCCTGAGAGCATCTGGGACACTAAAACCCAACAGTGGAAAAAACCGACAGAGGAAGGCCAAAGGTTACAAGGCAAAATGTGAACGCGCTTTATTCTTTTCAGCCACTGCCAGCCCAGGCTTGTGATTGCAATTAGTCCCCAAAGCAAATGGGCTGTTTCCATACTGTGACAAAGCTCTGTCCTTGTCTCCGTGGGTCCCGCGTTTCCTGGTGGATTTCGCTAGCCTCAGAGGCTCACTATGACCCTCCACGTAACCCTTCTTTCTCTAGAGACAAGGGTCACAGTCTACTGAGCCATTTTCATCATAAGCCAGCGAGGGAGGTGAGGAGAAGTTATCCTCCCTTGCACAGTCGCTGTTGTCTCCCAGTCTCAGTGATTAATCGGGGGAGGGGGAGAAGGGGGGAGCCCGGGCCCACCCTCTACTCCGGGCTCCAGCCCAGGGACCCTAATAGTATCAGCTATAGTGGCTGACCTTTTAGAAACATGACATGTACAATTCCCTGGGCTACTTCCCCTGCAGCAGCCCCGACTTCCTCAAGCTCCACTTCACCCTTACCTCAGGGCCTCCTTCCTTGTGCCTGACATGGTGTGTACTGCTCAGCCTCTCCAACAGCACAACTTCCTCCCACAGCTCCTGACGTGCACACCCACCTGACTGACTGGGAGGCTTTTAAACTAGTTTCAGCCAGCCCCAGCTAGGTGTCCTATGGTTCTCCCTGACTTCTGGAAAGTTCTTAATTGGCCCCAGGTGTCTTAATTGACCTGGAGCAGCTGCCATTTCACTTATCCTGGTACCAGGGATTTGTTTAGCCTGGAGCTGATATATCTATCTCCCACGACTTTTCTATAGCCATTGGGCCTTGCCCCGTCACGATACAAAGTCATTGGTGCATGGGGTCCTTTGAATTGCAGAACTGTCTTTCTTCTCCCTTGGACCTGAAAGGAAACAGAATCCTCTGTTTCCCCATCATTGTACACACCACATTCTACTCTCAGTGAAATGAGTGAGATAGGTGCGCTCCTCATAAAGCGAACCAGACCAGTGGTTCGATTTGCACCAAAGAGATGTACTGTGCAGTCTTTACATAGCAACTCACCACAGGCCATCTGCACCAAAGTACAGACCTCTCCCGCTTGAGCTAAAGAGTGACTTCTTTAGCCAGCAGCAGCCGTAGGCTGTTGTCCTCTGTGGACCAGCCACTTTACAAGCATCAGGCAAAACCCCAGGGACGCCATGGACTGCAGGATATGATCTAATAATGCATGGCAACTTGGGAGGAGCTATGGCCCAGACGCACAGAAGTATTTAGTCAGACTCCTAACTTCCACTGAAACCACTGAAAGCTAGGAACCTAACTACTTGTGTTCATCTGGGCCTGTCACCCCCACACACACAGACCACACCCTGCATGCCACCACTGCACAAGGTGCATCCAGTCTGCAGGGGAGATTTCAAAGCTCTGTTGTTTCAGATACTGCATACAGCTGTCTTTGCTTGTCCCCTCACAGCTGAACGCTCTAGAGAGCCGGGAAGAGCTCCTGCCATCTGAGCAGCCAAACCGGCTTTCCCACAAGGTAAGTTGTCTCCAATGGGCTGAGCTAAGCCAGAAAACCATGGAGTCAGCACAGCGGAACGGCCCCATAAAGGAAGCGCTTGTTCTGCATTCCCCTTGTCATGCTGGGCTGGTTCTGCTTATGTTTGCATCACGCTGCCGGGGGTGGTTTTAAGAGGCGTGAAGCTTACAGCTTGTGTTCGCTGAGAACTGCCAGAGCAGGGGACACTTACGGGTTACTTCCAGAATTAGCACCGTGACCACAGCCCCCACTCGCCATTCACACCGGATTTGCACTGGAGCGACTCTCTTTGGCCAGATCCGCAGCTGGTGTAGATCAGCAGAGTTCCATTGACTTCGGTGCGGCAATTGCCAATTGAGAGAATCAGGCCCCCTTGGCTTCAGGGGACTTACTCCCAATTTACACCTGCGTAAGTGGGCACAGAATCTCGTCCAGTGTGTTCTCTGGATTCCATTGCACCTGTTTATGACCCGCTGGGTAGGTGTCTTGTGTCAGTCAGACTTGGCTACACCTGGGCATGAGGGAGGAGGAATGAGTGCCTGGGATCAGAGGGCCTAATTCTTCTCTTACTTACACTGCAGTCAACCAGGAGTAACTTTATTAAAGACATTAGAGACACACCAGTTTTACACTGGTGTGAGACCAGAACTATTCTCTGCGGGTCTAACCATTGTCTTCTTGTGCGGTCATTGACACCCGTGCAAACAGTGTATGGGGTGCAAAATGCTCTGTGATGCAGTAGCATTTCAAACCCATTTTGCACTCGTGTAAATGGCTGCACAGGCACAGGGCAAAGGCGAATCAGGCCCAGGCTTTGGCTCTTCAGCTGATTGTCTCAAACCTGCGTGTGTTGCTGCCTGCCCGTCTCCATTTCGTTCTCTCTTTCCGCCCCCAGTACTCCCGCTGTGCCCTGCCGGCCGTGATCCTGGTGGGCATGCTCTTGGCCGGGGTTCTCACTTGTCTCTTCGTTTTTCCGTTCGGTTCCCCTCTGGAAAGAGGGAACGTTGGGCAGGATCCAGACAACACATGCAGTGACCCTTGCAGGTGCGTGAATATTGTAAGCATGGGCTTTTTAACTATTGTACATCATGGCGCCTTGGCCTTTGCTCACTAGCAATCCCCAGCCATCTGCTCCGTTTCTCCCGTGGCGTGCGCTGCCAGAATAGTGCGCCGCCTATCCCAGTATCCTACGCACCCACGCATTCATGTTCTCAGAACAGGCCCAGTTCATTGTCGTCCTGTACTTTGCGCAGTCATGTACACACCAGTGCAACACACCACTCTTGTGCCTCACCCCACTTTGCACGGCTGTAAGTGACGGCAGGAGGCCCAGGGCCATGATGAGCTGGGCCCAACTTGTGACAGTTCAGAGGTTAGCAGTGCTGTCGTCCCTGCTAGGATTGTGCTGGTGGAAAGCATCCCCGAGGGAATGGTGTATGAAGACAACAGCACGGTGAACCCATCCACATTTCAGGCCTGGAGGAATCTGATCAGAGGTGCTAAGAGCAGCTTGGACATCGCATCTTTCTATTGGACCCTGACAAACGACGACACGCACACTCAGGAAGCCACGGCTGACCAAGTAAATAGCAAAAGCTGAATTAGGGGCTGGATCCCGCCTCGGGCTCCAGGCTGGGAGCCAACCTGCTGAAGTCAGTGGAACTGCTCCCCTGCTCAGCGGGAGGCACACATGCTTTGGTGGATGGGGCCAGAACGCTCCTCGGCCTGCAGGGCTGGCACCAACGTGACGACATTGTATGGTAACGTACAGGAATACGCTGTACAGATCCAACTGCATCTGTGCCGATTTCAGTCCATCACTTCCAAACCGGCCTGTAGAAGAGTGCCGAGACTCTTCTTGGTACCGCTGCATTCATTCCCTCTGCCACCACTGTGTCAATGCGAGTGAAACGCACAGGAGCCAGCTGTCCCTCTGCTGGGGCAGAAAACCGCAGTCGAATCAGCTAAATCCACCCCCAAATTAGCGTCTAATTACCCAGCCAGTAACGGGTTCCTCTTCCCAGGCCGTCAAGGGAGCCAGTTAGGGAAGGCTGTTGAGTGGAACATTGATTCGCCGGAGCTTGAGCCTCCTTTTGCAAAGCCTCTTTCATGGCTTTGGTTAGATCAGAGCGGGTCATGATCAGAGTTGGCTCGGATTCTGGCAGAGAAAAAACCCAGGGCGAGACTGGAAGGAGATGCAGTGAGTCCCCCCTCCCACACAGGGAGCACCGTGAGCTGTGAAGGCAGAATTAGCTTGAGCAACCCCAATGCACAGCCTCTGCCCCATGAGGAGAGGCCGGCACAAGTCAGAGGTAAAGTTCCCCTCATCAGTGTGATCCCCATGGGGCTGTATATATAGGCACAGGCACGTCCCCATATGAATCATGCCCACTTTGACCTGGTGAGGAGGCAGCATTGGCAGAGAGTCCCTCCTCTGGACTTACTGGCATTTTTAATTGCTCTTTTTAAAAACCAGGGTGAAGAAATCCTGGCAGAACTGCTGCAGTTACCCCAGCGAGGCGTCTTGGTGAGAATCGCAGTCAGCAGCCCGTCCTCGAAGCAGCCCCTGGATGACCTCCAAGCACTGGAGCAGAGCGGTGAGATTCCTGAGTGCTGGGGCCCAACCTGAGACCCCAATGGGGCCTGATTTCCAGAAAGAGCTGAGCACCTGCCCTCTGAAAATCAGGCCCCTTCGTGGTGTTACACTTTGGGGACCCAAAATTCAATAAGCATTTTTGAGTATCTTGGCTGTTCTGACACCAAAGCAGCCCGCGTAGCCCCATCAGTGTAAGGGACCGGGGAGTGGGCAGTCTGGCCTCACGGTCATCACTGGGTTGAGGTCTGCCCACCAGGACAGGAGTTGGAGGAATCACAAGGCTGGATCCCATAAACAAGAGTCAAGGTCAGAGTCAGGCCAGGGTCGGAGATCGGGGACGAGGGCACTGCAGCAGGCCAAGGCCCATGTGGTTGCCCAGACAAGTTCCTGGGCCAGCCCCTGGGATTCAGTAGGGGCACGTGGCCAATCAGAGGGCTGCAGGGTACTGTCACTCAGGGTCTCTTGGGCGGTACTTCTTGCAGCACCGTAGACCCAGGTTCTAGTCCCCGAGTCCTTACAGTCAGCGCCCAGGAGCAGCCCTCTGATAACGAACTACTGGGCACCGCCTGGCCATGTCACGAGAGGCTCTGCGGTAAGACATCCGGGGAATCAGGAAACGGCTCGCCAAGGCCCCCTCTGGACGGTTTCTCCCCGTTCGATCCACTGTCGCCTGTGCGGCTCTCCGAAGGGACCGTCCCGCTTGGCACAAAGGGAAGACCCGATTCCGGGACCCTGGCCGTGAAAGAGCTCCATGTCCTTGACACACCCTAGGGGCTGCTGTCCGCAAAGTCGACATGCGCAGGCTGACGGACGGGGTGCTGCACACCAAGTTCTGGATCGTTGACAAGACCCACATCTACCTTGGCAGCGCTAACATGGACTGGCGCTCCCTCACCCAGGTAAACGCCTCCGAGGGGCAAGGGGGTCTTCGTCTGAGCTGGGGTGCTACGTACTCTTGTCCCTTTGACTGCCTGTTCTGCCGGCCTGAGGGGGCAGGCGCCGGGCGGGCTCTTAGCTAGGACTGAGGCGGGGCTGGTTCTGGGGTGTAGGGAAAGCTGAGGGAGCGTCGCTGAGTGCGGAGAGTAGGAACTGGAAGCCAGGACTCCTGGGCCGTGGTCCCAGCTCTGTTACTGACTTGGGCCCCAGTCTGGCAAAGAGCAGCACGGAGGCTGACCCCATCCCCATACAGACCCCACTGATGTCAATGGCCATGGTAGGAGTCCAGCCACACGGACCTCGCTGCAGAACTGGGGCATTGGTCTCGAACATCTAGGATTCTTCATGCCCAAGCCTGCAGTGGATGGGAATCCTGGGGGCTGCCGAAGACCCTTCCTCAGGAAAATCGAAGCATCTCTGTAGCAAAGTGCCCAGGGCTCAAGGTCAGACCTGCCCCCCCGTGTAGCCTCATGAAAATGTTATTTCCAGGGCTGGGGCCAGGATTTCAAATCCCCAGGAGCAGTGTGGACTGGTTCCAGCACCACTTTGATTGGCTGTTCTGGGGGTGTGAAAATGAGCCCCTGCCTTGTGCCAGCAGAGACACGGGCAAGGCCAGCGCTGTCGCTTAGATTCTTTGGGGTGCCAATAAAAGAGAGTAGCTAGAGAGAAAGTGGGGGGAGGCGTCCCCACAGGCCCTGAAACCTCCAGCCAAAGAAATACGTGGCTTGCACAATCACAGCACTGGGAGTTCCTCACGCCAACGGGCTGCACGTGACGGAGAGTTCTGTGCTGCTTGTCCTGCAGGTGAAGGAGCTGGGTGCAGCTGTCTACAACTGCAGCTGCTTGGCCAAGGACTTAGGGAAGATATTTGAAGCCTATTGGGTTCTGGGGGTGCCAGACGCCACCATTCCATCACCCTGGCCGGCCAATTACTCCACCACATACAACAAGGAGACGCCTCTGGAGGTGCAGCTGAACGGGACGGACGCCGGCGTGTACCTTTCTGTAAGTCGAGGCACGTCAGGGTAACCCTCTTCTGCTCCTTCTTATTGGTTTCATGTAGGATTTGCCGTAAACGAACAGACCTTGTTCTGGTCAGTTAGCTTGCCTCCTGCAGTGGCCAGTACTGCTTCAAAGTGAGTTAAACCCCGCCGCAACCAGTACTGCTGCAAAGTGAGTGTTGCACCTGACCAGTCAGGCAGTGCTGCATATGGAAGGAAAATTTCCTTCCCAGCTGTACAGCCGTCAGCTTGACCCCTCTGTGCTGTGCCCAGAGCTCCCCGCCAGCCTTGTGTGCCGAGGGACGGACGGAGGACCTCCATGCACTGCTCAGCATCATCGACGCCGCCAGCCAGTTCGTGCACATCGCCGTGATGAGCTACCTGCCGACCATGGAGTTCTCGCACCCCCGGAGGTAACGCCTCAGCGGCCCGTTGCGAAGCAGCTCTCAGGCCGAGCCCGCTCTGGGCACAGGGCTGTGCTGAGTTTGCTGAGCAGTGTGTGCCAGTGGAGATTTTGGGGCATGAGCTGTGTCCGAGTTGAATTCAGTAACAAGGGCAGGGGGGTGTTATCCTCATCCTTTAAGGCTCTACCCACCTCCACTGCCCGTCTCTCAGCCTTTGTTTCCTCCTGGGCCCTATGTGCTGCTCAGACTTCTCCCTTTAACACTCCTGTGTCTGCTGCCGATCCGCTCCATACCTTTTTCCGGCCACGCTCCCTCCTGGGAACCGCTAGGATTGCTCAGAGTAAAACCCATGGGCCCCGTTTTCAAAAGGGACCTGTGGTTTTAGCAGCCCAAATTGAGATGCCCTAAAGGGACCCGATCTTCATCAGATGCCCTTTCTTTCAGGCATCACACATGGGGCACTCAAAATTTGCTAGTTCATTCTGAAAATTCAGGCCAATATATTTGAAAAAGTTACTTTAAAAGGACACCGGGCAGCCACCACTGTAGCTAGTAACTCAGAGAGGCACCTGGGCAAGCCTTGTTTGTTTCCCCAGGTATTGGCCAACTATTGATAATCATCTCAGGAAAGCAGCCTACGAAAGGCAAGTCCATATTCGACTGCTGATTGGCTGCTGGGAGCACTCCAAGCCAGCCATGTTTCCTTTCCTGAAATCTCTGGCTGCCATGCAGGACAATGGGACGCACTACAGTGTGGAAGTGGTGAGTAATGCTCTGATTCGCACAGCAGCAGGGGTCAGGAATCCTGGAGTTCAGATCTTGCCTCTTACACTCATTCCCCTTTTTGTGGCTTTTGGCAAGTCACTAAAGCCCTGATCCAGCAAAGCACTTAAGCCCACAGTTAAAGCTAACATGTGTAGTCCTGAGCTCCATTGAGACTGCTCCTGTCTGGACTGGTTTCCTCATCTACAGGATGCTGGAGCATTTGCCTGAAAGATTTCTCCAGGATCGTATTTGTGGTAGGAGACCAGCTGGATCCAAAGGGCCTTGCTGAGGCTAAAGGGACCATTGTTCCTCATTCCCCAAGCCATGAAATCAACCCGGCCATGTCCAACTAGGAACCTTGCTGAACACTCAGTGCTGCTTCTGAGCAAGGTTCTCTGGGGAAATCGGCTGCACACTCCCAGCTGGGAGTGCCTGTCCTGGAAGCAGCTGTGAGGGGAGCCCACCTTCCAGGGAAAACAGCAGAGAAATTGGCGGTGGCAAGCCCCGGTCAGTGCTGTGGCTAGGAGTCGGTTTGGGGCAGATCTGCTCAGTCTGTTCCGGAGCAGCCGGATTCTTGGGTGAGCTGCACCAGAGACACATGGTGTTGCTGCGACCAGATGGATCAAATTGTAAGGGTTGATTCGCTCCTGTTGCCCTGTGCATTGTGCCGCCATGGATACCAGCACAAAGAGCGGGCAAGGTGGGTGCATCTTACCTTCCCTCTGCAGGGGCGCCAGTGACCGCACATGGTGCAGGGGCCAGAGAATCAGGACCTAGGGCTTTGTCCCCCTAGGCCTCGTCTCCAAACCGCAGGCTATGGGTTCAGAGCGACTCTTTCCATGGCCGCTGTTTGCAGTGCACTGATGCATTAGGACACTCATTCTGTGGGGTCTTTGTTTTCCTCCCTTCCATCTGAAGAGACTCTTCACGGTTCCAGCCAATGAAACACAAGCTGAGATCCCCTATGCAAGAGTCAACCACAACAAATACATGGTCACCGACAAGGTGGCCTATATCGGTGAGTAGAGCCTGAAGGATCGAACTGCCACTGCTGACCCCTCCCTACCGACACTATTAAATATGTCCTGTATCCTTCCTCCTTGGCTCACTGACAAACCGTCTCCCCGCACACTGGATAATATAGTTAAATAACCCAGAGCGCGGGAGAGCCCGGGAGCTCTAGGCGGGCAAAGGCCGTGATGTGTCCAGCCAAGATTTGACAGGAGCTGGGGAGGCAGCGCGGCACGCACACTCCGACTGCCTGCAGAGGAGACCACCCTTGCATGGCCGGTGGCGGGAGGAAGGTGAATCTAGCTGGCCCCGGGGAACGAGGAGGGGGGCAGAGCGAGAGGCACGCCAGCAGTACGATTCTCAGCTACTCCGCTCCTGCGTGCGGGGAGAGACCCTTAAAATGGTGTCAGTTTGCAGGGGCCTAAGTCTGCTCTCATTTACTTTCTGCTTCTCAGAGCCTCTGGGGAGCAGAGACTAGCCCGGGCGCTGTGCACTTTGCCCGCACTCCGAGGCCAGGGGCTGAGACCGGCCGGGGCAGACGCCTTACACCAGCCCCACCCCAGCTGGGATGGCACCCACACAAAGGGGGCTGCTCAGGGGCCCTTCCCACTCGCTTGAAGGCTCTTTTACACACTGCCAGAATGGTTTAAAGGGGCCTTTGTGTGAGTGAGACTCGGGCCCAGGGGCTGTAGGGTCAGGACAGCTGGAACAAGGTCGTGAAGGAGTTTAACTGTAAAGTAGGCAGCTTTCAACTCAAGCCTGAAACACACAGGGAGCCAGCGGAGGGGCCTGCACATGGCAGGTCTGTGCTCCCCGTCAGTGCACATGGGAGAACAGCAACTGCACGCGGTGATGCTGGACTCCGGGGGGGCCGCTAGGACTCCGGGGGGGGAGGGCATGTTCTTAGTTAGGACAAGAGGAAAGGGAGACCTGGCTGAGAATTGCAGGCTGGTGGCGTACCCAGGAAATGCTGGGGCAGGCTGCACACCCAGAAGAGATTCTTCGGGCCTGCCTGGGTTGGTAGAACAGAAGTGTCCGATATGGGAGAGCCCAGGGCTGCCAGGGTCATGACGGCATTTGGGCCGGCAGGTGCGATAAGCTCTCTCCTCCTTCTCCCTGAAGGTACCTCCAACTGGTCAGGAGACTATTTTGTCAGAACTGCAGGATCTGCGCTTGTGGTGAACCAGTGCGACGCAAATGCCCAGGGCGAGCTCACAGTGCAGGAACAACTCCAGGCTGTGTTCGAACGGGACTGGAACTCCAAATACAGCAGGGACATCGGCACCTTGGGCCAGTGGGAAAACATCTGCAGAGGTCACTAGGAGGCTACGCCGCTGAGGACTGACGGAAGGAAATCCTGGCATCACAGAATGACCTGGCTACGGCATGTCAAGAATACACGTCAGGGCAACATGGCCACCCCAGCACTGCAAACATGGTGCGGTTGACATGTCCCTTCCAGAGCCTGAAATATCCGGTGTTCACCTGGTTTCTTGCTAACCCGTTTGGTTTATCTGCAATGGCATTCATCATTTTTTGAACCCTGGTGTCTCTCTGGAACACAAGGTCACCCCACCTTCAAACACTAACAGCTGTGCCAGGCCATGAATTGACATGATCTTCCGAAAATTCACTGCAAGGCAGGGATCTGTAGCATGGTCTTGCAAGGAACAAGGAAAGCATTAACTCAATAGCTGAAAACTTGAGGGGGAGAACAGCAGATAGGCTTGAATAAAGTCACCAGCTATGGAGCTGCAGGTCACAACACTCAGGTAAAGGTTGAGTTCCATTTTGTACTCAAAGCAGGGATGCAGCATCTTTATAGTGTCAGAAAAATGCAGAGTGCCCTCCTCAAACGTACCGTATTTCCTCTCTGAGCGCAGAATGACTCGAGGCTCTGTTGGAAGCAATAGGTTGTAATGAAGCAAAATGATTAACACCTGGATCTAAGTATGGTGATTAGATAGGCTACAGAGAGGCATCCGATGAAGTGAGCTGTAGCTCACGAAAGCTTATGCTCAAATAAATTTGTTAGTCTCTAAGGTGCCACAAGTCCTCCTTTTCTTTTTGCAGATACAGACTAACACAGAGAGGTTCAGGTAACTCTTAGCTGGGCCCATCGTGATATCGGGGTAACTCCACCTTTCCTGTCCAGGTAGTTTGCAGCCAGGAGACTATGGGAGACTGAGTGATATTAGGGGGGCTGGAGAAGTGCCAAAAACCACACAAGTTGGTCCAATAAAAGCTATTATCTCACCCACCTTGTCTGGCTAATATCCTGGGACCAACCCGGCTACCACAACCCTGCACGCAGCGTTCTTGCTGGCAGATTCCTTGGCCCAGTGGTCACTGCTCTTTGAAGCTTCTGTAGCTGCGTTCTGGCTTTGGCAGCGGTGTTTGGAAGGGTCTGTTGCACGTGGAGGCAGCAGCATGGACATACTGGGACACAAAGATGTTGCAATTCTCCCCAAACCAAGCATTATGAACCCCAGCAATTCACAGCTCACGTTACACTTCACAGAAATCCAAACAGGTGCAGATAAGAAATACACTGTTAAGGCACCTCCGCAACCTTTGCTCTGCCCTGCAGTGATATCAGGAGGGAAAAATATGCAAAAAAATCCCTTCATGTGTCAGTTTAATGTAATCTGGGCCCTCAGATATCTTAATCCTAATCATGTGGCTATTGCACAGTGTCATTACAAACAGAATTCCCCACTCACACCAGTCTGTATCGGCTTTGGACCGGTGTAGACAGTGACGCAAGGTATAGGGCACTGGAAAATCTAGACTGACCTGGGTTGGGGCTTGCACTGTGCTACTTGCCAAATGCTCGGACTGCTGCAGATGAGCCTCAGCAAATCCTGTTGAAATAGTTTTGCTGGCTGAGATCACTGGACCTGGCTCTCTCCTTAGCCTGCACTTGAGAAGTCAGGAACACCTGAGTGAGCAGGTGTAAACACCATCTCATCAGACCTCTCCATTTGCTCAGCATTTTGTAATCACTCTGCAGAGGTTGTAAAGGACTGACCAGGGCGCAAGGCAGAGGAAACCAGCCAGCCCTGGGTAACTGGGAAATTCTGCCATGTGCGATCGTTGGGTGCAAGCCATTGTGTCGTTTGCTTGCACCTTGTTACTCGGCTGCTCGCTCCTGGGCTTGCGCGGCTCACTCAGGAAATATGGAACAATCTCACCAACCTGAGCCTGAGCAATTCCACACGACCCAGGAGAGAGTCCGAGCTTGTGGCAGCAGGGCCTGCGGCAACGAGCTGTTGCTCTGTGGTGAATTCAACCCCAAATGACGCTCAAGATCTTGAGAAATCGCAGTTAAGTTAGGGCAGGGGTCCCCAACGTAGTGCCCGCGGGCGCAATGGCACCCGCCGGGGCAGTTGTCTGCGCTCGCAGGACACCGCGCCACCGAAATGGCACCGCCGAGCGCGGCCGCTGGAGAACCGCCCGCCCAAATGCTGCCGAGAACCATTGCCGTTGCTCGGCAGCATTTCGGCGGCGACGCGTCTTGCCGCTCCCGCGTTTCGGCAGCGGGGTGTCTGGCGCCCGCCACAGTCTTCTGGGAATAGGAATGTGCCATTCCCACAGAAAGGTTGGGGACTACTGAGTTAGGGTGTGCCAGACCCCAACATGCAAAGCAGCCTCCGGCCCTGCCCCTTCTAAGAGCGAAATGAGGTCCTCCAAGAGTCCTGAAGCCCTAGCCCAGAGGTGGGCAAACTACGGCCCGCGGGACCCTCGTGCCCAGCCCCTGAGCTCCTGCCCCGGGAGGCTCGCCCCCGGCCCCTTCCCCGCTGTCTCCCTCCCGGGCAGCCTCAGCTCGCTCTGGGTGGGGGGGGCTGCAAGCTCCTGGGGCAGTGCAGCTGCCGAGCCTGGCCGGACTCAGTGCCCTGGGCTGCACGGCGGCATGGTAAGGGGGTTGGATAGAGGGCAGGGGAGTTCGGGGGGTGGTGGTGGTCAGAGGGTGGGGGCGTGGATAGGGGTCGGGGTGGGAACAGGGGGTTGAATGGGGGCAGGGGTCCTGGAGGGGCAGTCAGGAATGAGAGGAGGGGTTGGATGGGGCAGCTGGGGGCAGTCAGGGGTGTGGGTCCAGGGGTGGTTAGGGGACAGGGAGTGGGGGTGTGTGGATGGAGCAGGAGTCCCGGGGGCAGGGGGAGGCGGACAGGAGGTGGGGGGCGGGGCCACGGCCGGCCCTCTGTACAATTTCCGAAACCCGATGCGGCCCTCAGGCCAAAAAGTTTGCCAGGCCCCTGCCCTAGCCACTTGGGCTCACAGTGATGACATCACTGTGACATCATGTCCTGACGATGACATCACTGTCCTGATGACATCACCATGACACCACGGTGGCCTGGTTCAGCGACAGGCCAGCACAGCGAGGCTGCCCCAAGACCCTGGCCTGACATGGCCCCTTCCCTCGGGGGAGCGGCCCGCCCCGGCCTCGCCCACCCCAGGGCCCCGCGCCCCAGCCGCTGTGAGGGGCAGGCGCCGAGCAACACAATTAAATAGCGCTGGGGAGGTACCATTCCCTTGGAAAGGGGGAGGGAGAAAGGTGCCTTCCCCCCCTCAAAAAAATCCAGGTTTATTTAAAAACCACCCTAAGCACACAGTGTAGACTAAGTAAACAGACTGGGTAAATAATAAGATAATACCAATAATAATGTCAATTCGCTGATCAGTTCTGGTCAACTCCTCCGAGCGCCCCCACCAAGGCAATGGTTCACTCCAGCAGTTTGACACGCGGGCGCTCACTCGGCCTGGGAAGGAACCATTTCACTGACGGGGGGAGCGGAGCGGGGCTGGAGATAATAAAACTCCCTTGGTGATTTCCCGGAGAGCAAACAAAGCCCATAACTTTGCCCCAGAGCGTCTGCTGTGGTTATTTGCTAACCAGGGCCGGTATTAAAGCCTGCAGGTTTGCGGGCCCCCCCATCCAGGCTGAGAATGGTACATCCCGGCCCCCAAGGGCAGTTGGTTGTTTACCAGCTTCTCCTCCACTCAGATGGGGCAGGGGGCGGGGCGGGGCAGATGTGGGGCTGGGCCCTGGGCCGGCCTTGCCTGGGGGCGGGGCGGGGCAGATGTGGGGCTGGGCCCTGGGCCGGCCTTGCTTGGGGGCGGGGGCGGGGTGGGGCAGATGTGGGGCTGGGCCCTGGGCCGGCCTTGCCTGGGGGCGGGGCGGGGTGGGGCAGATGTGGGGCTGGGCCCTGGGCCGGCCTTGCCTGGGGGGGGCGGGGGGGGGCAGATGTGGGGCTGGGCCCTGGGCCGGCCTTGTCTGGGGGCGGGGTGGGGCAGATGTGGGGCTGGGCCCTGGGCCGGCCTGCGGGGGCGGGGGCGGGCGGGGCGGGGCAGATGTGGGGCTGGGCCCTGGGCCGGCCTTGCCTGGGGGCGGGGCGGGGCGGGGCGGGGTGGGGCAGATGTGGGGCTGGGCCCTGGGCCGGCCTTGCCTGGGGGCGGGGCGGGGTGGGGCGGGGCGGGGCAGATGTTGGGCTGGGCCCTGGGCCGGCCTTGCCTGGGGGCGGGGCGGGGCAGATGTGGGGCTGGGCCCTGGGCCGGTCTTGCCTGGGGGTGGGGGGGGGAGATGTGGGGCTGGGCCCTGGGCCGGCCTTGCTTGGGGGCGGGGCGGGGCAGATGTGGGGCTGGGCCCTGGGCCGGCCTTGCTTGGGGGCGGGGCGGGGCAGATGTGGGGCTGGGCCCTGGGCCGGCCTTCCTTGGGGGCTGGGCGGGGCAGATGTGGGGCTGGGCCCTGGGCCGGCCTTGCCTGGGGGCGGGGTGGGGCGGGGCGGGGCAGATGTGGGGCTGGGCCCTGGGCCGGCCTTGCCTGGGGGCGGGGCGGGGTGGGGCGGGGTGGGGCAGATGTGGGGCTGGGCCCTGGGCCGGCCTTGCCTGGGGGCGGGGCGGGGCAGATGTGGGGCTGGGCCCTGGGCCGGCCTTGCTTGGGGGCGGGGCGGGGCAGATGTGGGGCTGGGCCCTGGGCCGGCCTTGCTTGGGGGCGGGGCGGGGCAGATGTGGGGCTGGGCCCTGGGCCGGCCTTGCTTGGGGGCGGGGCGGGGCAGATGTGGGGCTGGGCCCTGGGCCGGCCTTGCCTGGGGGCGGGGCGGGGTGGGGCAGATGTGGGGCTGGGCCCTGGGCCGGCCTTGCCTGGGGGCAGGGCAGATGTGGGGCTGGGCCCTGGGCCGGCCTTGCTTGGGGGCGGGGCGGGGCAGATGTGGGGCTAGGTCCTGGGCCGGCCTTGCTTGGGGGCGGGGCGGGGCAGATGTGGGGCTGGGCCCTGGGCCGGCCTTGCCTGGGGGCGGGGTGGGGCGGGACAGATGTGGGGCTGGGCCCTGGGCCGGCCTTGCCTGGCGGTGGGGTGGGGTGGGGCAGATGTGGGGCTGGGCCCTGGGCCGGCCTTGCTTGGGGGCGGGGTGGGGCAGGGCAGATGTGGGGCTGGGTCCTGGGCCGGCCTTGCCTGGGGCTGGGGTGGGGCAGGGCAGATGTGGGGCTGGGCCCTGGGCCGGCCTTGCTTGGGGGCTGGGCGGGGCAGATGTGGGGCTGGGCGTGGGGCGGGGTGGAATGGGGCTGGGCCCTGCGCTGGCCTTTCCTGGGGGTGGGGAGGGGTGGAAGGGGGCTGGCCCCTGGGCCTGCTGTGCCTGGGGGCAGGGCAGCATGGGGCGGATGGGGGCTGGGCCCTGGGCTGGCCTTGCTGGGGACAGGGTGTGGGGAGAGAAGTGAGATAAGGGGGCTTGGGCGTTGGTTTCCATCCCACAACAATATACATTCAACGGTCTGCCACTGATAAATCATTTATTGAAATAGAAATGAGCCGGCCCCAGGGTGACGCCCACATGCCCCCAGCTGGCTGCTATCCCCATGCAGTCGTGGCCTTGGCCTTCCCTTAGATGGACTTTGTGCCCTGGGATGGCATCATGGCCCAGCGGCCACTGGACAAGCCGGGTTTGACACTGGTCAATAATAGGGAGGTAGCTTTGGGTTTCACGAGTAAACGGCATTGAGGTGGGAACACTCTATAATTTAATGGCTACAAAGGACTCTGCAAAGGGGTTGTGGGGGGTGTCTCCGCCTGGCTTGTCCCTCCTGCGGGCTGCCCTGGGCTCAGTGGTGGCTCGTGATGTGCTGCAGGTAGGGCTGGTGCCTGTTCGGCGTGAGGTGGAGCGTGTTCTTGATTGGGGCTCTCTCCCCACTCCTCTCAATCAGCCAGTCATCACCGCCCAGCCAGGTGCTGGCACTGGGCAGCTGCGGCTCGGGGTCGGGC